GAGAGAGGAACAGGAGCCAAAAACATACAAACAAACAAAAAAGAATGCTAGGGGAGCTTGCCGTTGGAGTGGAGAGATGAGAGACTATGAAATGGAGAATAACAGAAAGGGGAAGAGGAAGAAAAGGAAAGAATGAATAAATAAAAATCAGAAAGGTTAAAGAACCGCAAAGTTCCTAGGGATCCCAGCGATGCAGCTATGAGGTCAGGGGAAGTCACTCTCAGGTGTCGCAGTATAGCCTGGTTGGAAGGCATAGAGGTATACAACTTCTGGTATTCAGGGATCAGAAAGAGAAGGAAGATACAGAGAGACGAGAAACTGAGCAATGAAGAAAGACAAAAAGGGAAAAAGAGAGAAAAGAAAACAAAACAAATTAAAAAAAGAAAAAAAAAGAACAAAAAAGGCACCCCCCAAAAAACAGGAAAAAAAGAAAAACCAACAAGAAAAGAAATGCCCTCTGGGATCCCTCTGCACGTCTGTGGAAGCTGAAGGAGAGTTCTTTGCCACGCAGCTCCGCCTGGCCAGAAAGGGCTCCCAACTCAAGAAAAGGAAAAGAAAACAAACAAACAAACAGTTCACAATGAACAAATGAACAGAAGCCCCGGGATCCCACCAGCACGGTAGCCGAGACTGGGAAGCAGCCCCACACTCGAATGGAGCTCTGCAGCGCCTCAGGAAGAAGCAAAGATGGCGCACGGAGGCAGGCACTCGAGTGAAAGGAGAGGGAGGCGGTGAGAGGGAAGCAAGAAATCCAAAGAAGCAGGAAAAAAAATAAAAAAGCAACATTAGCAGCCAACAAATGGCACTCAGAGAGCCAGCTAGTGCGGGCTGGTGTTTTTGGACAGGAGACTGTGTCCGCGGGAAGTAGAGGAGGCCAAGTGTGGGTGAAGAAGGGTGGAGAGTGGGAAAACATATATCACAAATTGCCGGCGCTCTGGAGCTCCTCAGGGAGAGGCAAAGATGGCGCATGGAGCCAGGCACTTGAGTGGAAGGAGGGGGAAGTGGCGAGAGGCAAGCTAGAAATCAAAAGAAGCAGAAGAAAAAAAGCAACACTAGCAGCCAACAAATGGCACCCAGAGAGCCGCCTGCTTGAGTGTGTGGAATCCAAGCAGCCGGCGCTTCCCGGTCAAGAGACTGTGGCCACGGGAAGCAGTGGAACAAACGAAGAAAAGCCCCGGGATCCCACCAGCGTGGTAGCCCAGGCCGGGAAGCAGCTCCACACTCGAATGGAGCTCCGCAGCCCCTCAGGAAGAAGCAAAGATGGTGCACGGAGCCAGGCACTCGAGTGAAAGGAGGGGGAGGCAGCGAGAGGCAGGCAAGAAACCCAAAGAAGCAGAAAAAAGAAAAAAATAGCAACACCAGCAGCCA